TCCCTGGTGGACATATGCGATCCCCAAAAGGTGCTGACCATTGAAGAGCGCATGCTGATTTACTACAAATACGACAATAATCCAGTGAACTGTGTGAAGATATTTACCTCAGCTTTCCGAGCCAAACCAATTGGTTTTAGGTTGCTACAATCCAATCTGTTCAATCACTCCAAGCTATATGGCAGAACCGATTTCATAAGGCTGTTCGATGGTGACATCTACAATGTGACTGCCACTTATCTGGGTAAAATCGAATCTGATACGGATAACCAAAGGTCGTTCTTCAAGACCAAGGGCCCAACGATGAGCCTTCAGTTGGTGGCCAGTGGAGCTCCCGAAACACATGGTTTCATAGCCGAGGTGGTCACAGTGCCCATTTCCACTTTGGGTCAATGTGAGTTACGCTTTTTTTCTATTTTATTTATTTTAAATCTTAAATTTGGATTTACAGATCGCGATGCCTTGCACAATATCACAGATACTCACATCTCAGGTGCTATGAAAGGGGCGGTTTCCTATTCCTCTGCGGGTGAGGTCACGCCCACTTTGACTTTGATTGGCAATCGGATAGAAAAGAATTGCCGTCAATTGTATGGCAACTTTTCAACATGCACTTCAGCTTTGAACTTGGATGTGCAGAACATGAATTCATTGTACTTTATGGTAAGTAGATAAGAAAAAACTAAATTTATACACTAAAAAAATAAAAAATAGCCATTAAAAATAATATATTTCATGTATTTAAAATTTAAAAAAAAAAGTCATTATATTAAACATGATGCAAATTATTAAACATTTGAATAAATATGCAAACAAATTTAATTTTAAAATGGGTCATATATTTTATAAATGCACTTCATTTAGGTTTAATACATTTTTATTTAATTTTTTGATATTAAAATCATTTTACAAAATAGTCAAATGAAAAATGAACTTATAATTATATAAATATAATTGAACTGAGACTGAATTACTTAGACTTAATATGTTCTGTACCAGTGTAGTTAATATTATTTTCTTTTTAAAAATTTGCAGAACAATCTGATCACTGAAAATCAAGGTGGCCTGCGTATACGGGCTGATTCTCGTGGCTCAGCCACTTCACTTCGAGGCTTTGTTCATCACAACCTCTTTATGAGGAATCGCAATCGTCCCGCTTTGTATGTGGAAGGACGGCAATCGTCGCCGTATCAGGAAGTAGAGCTCTATCGCAATTACTTTGCCCAGAATATGGCTGGCTATGAGGATGTGATCCGATTGTGCCAAGTGGTGTCCAACTTCAGCTATAACTATGTGCACAGCAATGTGGGCGGAAGAATCATGGAGGTTTCTGGCTTCGAAAAGGTGCGACTGCAGATCTATCAGACCACGGCTCACAATGGTTTTTATAGGTAGGTCATAAAATACCAAAACATGAGTTTCTTTATTTAAATTTTACTGATTTTTAGGAACTTTGCCACCAACTGGATGACCAGAGCAACAATTGTGGCTGGAACAGCGGGTCAGCAATATGTGGATAATATTTTCGAGAACTACGAAAACGATTATGAGCTGCTTACCGTCAACAATTCTATGTAAATATTGTTTCTGTTATTTAAAAAAAAATCTCTACAGAGAAAATCCAGAACAAGTCATTTTTGTATGACTTTTTCATGTTTATTTTATTTCAATTGTTCCAATATTTCGTCTTCTAAACCACCCTTTTAAACTCTTAATGGGAATCTAATTTCTTACTATATTTTTTTCTATTTCCCACAATTTTCCTTCCTGTAGTTTGAGTTTTGACTATGAAAACAGGTAAGATAAAATATTGAACTTAAACTAAAACAATATTAATACAATTTTTTTTTAACCCTCAACTAGGACCTTTGAAACCTGGAGCTCAAAGATTGATGCTCGTCATAACTATTGGAGCTATAATAATACCATTTCAGTTCAGTCTCGTATTAGAGATAAGTCAGGTAAGTTTTTATATAATTAAATAGATAAGATAAACTTAATATAATTTAAAAAAATTTACAGATGATCCTATGCTTTTGGAGGTCCTGGCCGTGCCCTTCCAAATGAACAATGAAACTATCCTGGATGGCAAATGTCCGCCAGGCTGGGCGCTAGTTCACGACACTTGTTTCATCTATGTGGGAGCTCCCATGACTTTCCATGAGGCCCGAGATTTCTGTCGCTCGGAGAACTCCACAATGCCATTCATTCGCACGGACAAGACCACGTTATGGAGGTATCTGCAAAGCCAGATGAGGCATTTGAAATATCCGGACAAGGTGTGGATTCAGGACTACAATCACATCGAACGCTGCACGAGTTTTGTGTTCGGGGAAATCGAACTGGAGGATTGCAGCAAAGAGCGTGGTTTCATATGCGAAATGGATCCTAGGGTAAGAATATCTTAAATTTTTTTGTTTATTTTTTATGTTTTACATTATATTTATTTATTCTTTATAGCACCATCTTGGTGCTACAAGAGAATCATTTATTTAATGCACTAGTTAGAAATTGAAACACTTGTTAATAAATTTTTATATTTTTTTTTAGGTGATCATTGATCCTCTCTCGTGGCGTGCAGACATCTTTGCCATCAGTATTATCTCAGCCTTTGTCCTTGCCATTATCCTGCTGATCCTGGTGGCCTTCTGCTGGTTTGCCAAATCAAAGCACCGTCATACCCAACGACTCCAGCGAAGAAACAGCATTCGCCAAAGTTTGCGCAGCCTGAACAGCATCGATCCGCAGGGTTCCCTTCGCCGAAGACCCAATTATGTATGATTTGCTTTTGATTTTATTATTTCATAGTTTTGATTTTATTTGTACCTTTACTTTTACTCCATTTTATGTTGTTACTTTGGGTTCATCGTTAACCAGAACATGTCCAGCAATGGAACGTTGTCCAAGAGCCAGGACTACAAGCAGATGGTGACGAATGGCTCCATTGATTCTATGGACAAGAGTGTGCTGAGCTCCGAGGCTGGCAGTTTTGAGGGCTACGAACAAAAGCCAAACTACAATGAGTATGTGAATCAGAATGCCCTGAGACCAGTTCAGCCTGCCCAGGATCATCAGAGTCACAAGGTGGCCACCATCTCAAAGGCCAGTGGACATCGGGCCAGAGCTGCCGCAGCTGCCTTGGAGCCCGATGCCTTCGAGCTGAGCTACCGAAACGAGGGATTCCGTGATAATTCCACCTACGGCGGAGGCACTCGGGCCAATTCCATTAGCACCAGTGTGGCCGAGGATACGCCCATTATACATCACACAGATCAGGAGATCGATGAGGGTGGCTCCGATTATTATGGCAATGCCAGTACCCTGCCACTGCGAACAGAGGCAGGCGGTGGGGGTAGCACACCGGGCGGAAGGCGTGGCCAGCCCGGCTTGGCCTTCCTCAGCGAATTGAAACAGAATCTGCCCGAGTACCAGAGAAGTTCCCACAGCAGCTTTATGCCGCACCGAAGCAGCGGCGATTCCCTGCCCTTCGATCAAAAGCTTGATCAGTTCAACTACTCCACGGAGTCCTCACTGTACCGTCCGGCACCTGCGGTACCCAGCCAGCTGCAGCAGCAGCAGCAGGCAACGCCAACGGATATGCGACGTCCGGACTCGTACTATACGGCCGTGAGGAGTAGTAAAGCTCCAGTCTCACATTACCGTACACCCAGGCCAGTGGCACAACCACCGGCCGCACCAAAAGTGGCGCCCTCGGGTGGACCGACGAATGGATCGTCGCATGGACGTCCCAAGACGGTTTACCAAACGGCTTCGGAGGAGTCCTCACCGACGAACCCCTCACCACTGGCCAATCCCTATCATCGCTCCAAGTCAGAAGCTCTGCTCGAGACGGATTTCGATGGGGACGGTGGCGCGGGGGGTCTGCAGCCCCTGCAGGCAAACGGACGGAGTCACAGTCAACCCCTGGAAACAGCCATGTGAAGAGTCGTCAACCAATTCATACTCTAATTTAACAATCACTTTCTGCTCGTTGCGAACAAATTGTGCTTTCCAGATGACAAAACATTCCATTTCAAGCTCCATCAAAAATTTGTTTTGTCAGCTTCGTTCCGAGTTCAATCAGAATCATAGCTTAGTAGTTTTAGTTTGCCTTAAAAGTATACTTTTTAGAATCGAGATTACGATAGAGAGAGACCAAGAGAGACGAACACGCCCGCCCGTTGTTTTTATTTTTGTGGTAAACTTAGATCATTCCATCCATTAGCTTTAAGTCTACGTTTAACTATTGCCGAAACGAATTAGTCCTAAGTTGATGTATATAAACAGATAAATAAAATAAATAAGTTTAATAGAAAAAAGTGATTTTTTTGGGAAGAAAAGAGCTAATAAAAATATTAAAATTTTTGTAAAACCGCTCCAAAAGAATTTTAATTTAAAGTACCTTTACCGAAAAGGTGAGAGACACAAATCATTCCCAAAATTTGACTTTATTAAGCACAGTTATTCTTTTTTTTATCTTTCGTAGAACAAGTTTTTGTTTATAACATCACTAAGACAAAGATGAACAATATTCAACAAAATGAATGTATTCTCTCTTTTAAAGTTAATTGTAAAATTAAAGAAAGGCGTCAGAGAAAGATTTCGGCCTGATCAGCATTTCGGCATATTTCATCACATAGGTGTATTCACCGATTCGGTAGGACGACCAATATATGCCTTCAACGCCGTATTTTTCGCCATATAACCCACACAAATTACTAAAAGAAAAATCATTAAATTGCGATACATTTTTCAATGATCACGAATACCAGGTAAATACACTGACAAAAAAAACGTAAGCTAATATGAATAATAAATATCTGGATATTGACTACAAATAGTTATATTTAAATCTTAAATTAAATATCATAACATAATATTAATTTCAATGCAAAATAAATTGAATGATTTAATAATAAAACATTTTAATTTATGTATAAAATATTATAATTAAAATGGGAGCCATTTGTTTAAATTCATTTTAAATTCAATTTTTAATTGTTAATATTTCTTCCGAAAAAAGTCAAGCTAAATATTAACTTTAGCCGACACGGTTAAAAATCTAAGCGAAATATGTTTAAATTCAGTTGAAGATACTTGCAGTAACTACGTTTTTATTTACCAGTGAAGTGCTAAATGTTGTACTTTTATAATTTTATAGCAGAAATTAATGGCTTACCTGTCAAGGCAATTGTAATACCACCATGCACCTTTGGCATAATTTGCGCAGCCGCCTTTCGTTATCCCGTTGTCGCGATCCTTGGTGCTGAACTGGCTGTTCAAGTGATAGGTGAGTGAGTCGCCGGCATCTCCAGAAAACGATCCCACCGATTCCAGGGTGTAGTTGTTGCTCTCGGGACCAACGCTAAAGTTGTCGTACAGCACGTAGGCCTGGTTGCCGTTGAAATCCTCCAGCAGGACCAGGAGTTCCTGGGGCTCCGCTGCCGTCAACGCATGCATTTTGTCCAGCCCGATGAAGAACTCGCTGTCCAGGCGGCCAAACCCTTTCTTGTAGTCCTTCCATTCGAGGAAAAAGTCCTGGCTTCCATCGCTTCGTCGCAGAATCACAGTCCAACCGCCACCGTGACTCTCCTGATCGCAGGTCACCTCAAAGGGGTACGCACTGTACCCGGGCACACGGATCAATGGATTGCTGCTGTTTGATGACTCGGCGCAGTTGGCAGGATATTCATTGGTCACAAATGCTTTTAGGTTTTGGTTCAAGCCCTCCAAAATCGCTGCCTGGCGCGCTTGCTCTGCACTAATTTTTAAAAACAACCAATCTCATGGTTATAATTAAATAGTCATTAAATATTTACCGCACAGCAGCCACCTCAGATTTTGTTGCTAGAACATTATCAAATATTGTCAATAGGGTACTATCTTCAGTGCCATTTTCAATGGCTAAAGTACTCAAAACTAGAAGTGAAAATATAATTCCGAAACGCAACATAACTTTACTTTAGCTCTTTAAAAACTGGCAACAAACATTAAACGAGACGCCTATTTATAGTGTCTTAATCTAAAGTATAGTATTTCATATTGTCTTATCCGATTTGAGAGACACAAGAAGTTTAAATAGATTCTGTTAGCATACACTGAGCGATTAAATGTTTAATGCTTTTCTTAAAACAGACAACAATTTTAATTTTGCAAATTTAACTATTAATGATATTCAATCTATTATGTTATTCCTAAACATTTATGGTCACAATTTAAGAACTGTTCAAAATAGTATAAATATATTTATTAAATTACAATATAGTATGTACAAATTAAATGTAGCACTGTGTGCCCATAGAAAAAACTAATAAAGTGTGCATGAATTAATGGTACACTAACTCTATGTGTTGTATCTCTTTTTTTCTTATCTTTATCACATAACTAAAAAATTAAATACCTTTTAAATAACCTACGCTGAAAGAAACAGTAGTCTAAATTAAATTGTATATTCTGAATACCGATTAAATCTAAATTATACATAAATAGATTTACGCTTATATATTTTCAATATTTTTATTTTATTAGGTTCATTAACAAACAAAAATGTGGCAATTATAAAAAAAATAAGTATGTAATAATAGCTTTAATTGCGCTCTTTAAAAATTAAGTACTTTTAAATTACTGCCAATCAAAATTACCCTTATCTTAAAATGATTTCCGTTTTGTCGTATTGTTCCTTGAATTGCCTCATTATGAGTAAGAATCGCCCGATAATACCACAATTTAAGATGTTATCATTTGCCGAATTTCTTTAAGGGGAGTACCCAAAATTGACTTTTTTCAACCCAAGGCTCTCCATTTGTATTTAATTTATTTTGTTTTAATTTTAATTTGATTTAGAGTAGTATGCTTTGTAGCCGAAACTCTTTTTACAACTAAACATAAATTGGATATATTACACGCAATAGCATAAAAATAAAATTATGAATTTAATTACAAAATATTTTTAAAAACTTTATTACCCAATGACGATTGTAATTTACAATTTATTTTTGTTTTAGAGAATATGTTTTCGGCCTCATCATCATTACAGCACGTTTCATCACGTTAGAATAGCTGGCAAATGTCTCCCAAATTACACCAACAGCAGGTTTATCCTTGCCATATGTGCCACACAAATTGCTGAAAAGATAAAATAGATTTCAAGCTGAGGTTCAAGGCCATAAATTGAAATACTGACCTCCAATGGCAATCACGGTACCACCAAGCTCCAGTATATTTAAGTGCACAGTTTCCATCCCAAACGTCGTTATCGCGATCCTTAGTGCTGAACTGCATACCCTCATGAGTTGTTAGCGAATCGCCGGCGTCTCCAGAAAATGATCCCACCGACTCCAAAGTATAATTATTACACTCCGGACCAACTCTAAAGTTATCGTAAAGCGCGTAAGCCTGGATTCCTCCGTAATCTTCTAGAAGAACTAGAAGTTCCTGCGGCTCCGATGCCGTCATCGCGTGCAGTATGTCTAGGCCCATGAAAAACTCATTTTCCAGCAGGCCAAACCCTTCTTTGTAGTCCTTCCACTCGAGGAAAAACTCCTGACTACCGTCGTTACGTCGCAGGAATACAGTCCAGCCTCCACCATGACTCTCCTGATCGCAGGTCACCTCAAAGGGGTACGCACTGTACGCTGGCACTCGAATCAAAAGATTATGCTTGGATGACTCAGCGCAGTTGGCGGGGTATGAATTCCCAAGAAGGAGGTCGAATTTTTTATCTAATCTCTCCAAAATATCTGCGTGGCGTCTTTGCTCCTCACTATCGGTTCATACCGATTAAAAACCGGAATAGAAGTTACATTTAAATATTTACCGCACACCAACCAGCTCTGATTTTATGGCTTCAATATTATTACACATCGATAGGAGTGTACAAACTTCCTTGCCATCTTGGCTGGCAAAGGAGTTTTGAAATAACAATGAAAAAATTATTCCGAGAAGCAACATGACTTCACTTAACCTTTTTTTAGACTGAGAACTATTTTTAAATAGTGATAATCGAAAGTATTGGTAATCTTATTATCTTATCTAAACTGATAAGCATTTATAAAATATACAAAATAAACGAATACACTTTTCCGCATTTATGTAAGCAATAATACAAATCAAATAAAAAAAAATTATGTTGTTTTAAAAAAAAGCTTAAGTCGAAAACCGTTTTTATTGGTGGAGTTATAGAGTTACAGTTGGGTAATTAACTTTAAACTTTATTTCATATTTATTTAAAGTCAGTGCTTATGATCGATTGGAAGAAATCCTTTTTGGCCTTATCATCATTGCGGCCCGTTTCAGATTGTAGGGAAGGTAGGATGTATTGTATCCAAATGTATCCCAAACTATGCCTCGACCAGACCAGTTGTCGCCAAACATGCCAAACAAGTGACTAGAAAGAAATACATATAATTTGATTATAAGATTATATATGAAAATTTGTAGGACAAATTATTAAAATAATAATAATCAAAATGTGTTTGTTTTAGAAAATACTTATTAAAAATAGTTGTTTTTTATATTATAACTTTTTGTTATGTTATCCTGTTTTTTTTTTGGTAAAAATTATTTTTAAAAACATTATATTATTAATTACAACTTTTTTTTTGTGTTTTCTTAAAATTCAAACTTAATTTTTGTTTTGAGAATTTCGTATGCTCACCTTTTATGACAAGCTCGATACCACCAGGCGCCAGTAAACAATTCAGCACAGTGCGCTGTCGGATCGATATCGTTCTTACGATCCTTAGTGCTAAATTGCATGCCCAGATGATATATAAGTGAATCCCCAGCGTCTCCGTTCGATGATCCCAGCGATTCTAGCGTATAGTTGTTAGACTCGGGTCCGATTTTAAAGTTTTCGTACAGCTGATAGCGATTGTCGTCTTTATAATCTTCCAAGAGAACTAAAAGTTCCTGCGGTTCCGATGCAGTCATCGCATGCAGTTTGTCCATTCTCATGAAGAACTCATTGTTCAACTGGCCAAATCCTTCTTTGTAGTCCTTCCACTCGAGAAAAAAGTCCTGACTACCATCGTTTCGCCGCATAACTACAGTCCAGCCTCCACCGTGACTCTCCTGATCGCAGGTCACCTCAAAGGGGTTTTCACTGTACTCTGGGACGCGTATCACAAGCTTATTTTTGGATGTCTCTGCACAGCTTGCCGGATATGAATTGGGCACACAAAGGTCGAATTTTTTGTCTAAACCCTCTAAAATAACCGCCTGGCGTTTTTGCTCCTCACTAGTATTTTTATTGAATAATTAAAGTCTAATAAAAATCCACAATTAATTTATTATTTATTTACCGTATAGCAGCAACTTCATATTTCAAAGCTACAAGATTATCACAAATGGTTAAAAGAGTACAAACTTCTTTGCCATTTTGGTTGGCTAAAGTATTTAAAAATAACAATGAAAAGAATATTCCGAAAGACAACATGGTTTTACTATGGCTTTTTGTTGACTGATGAAATGACGTGAAATGTTTATTGATCAAGTTTCTTAATCGAAACTTTTCTTATCAGATTTCCTGATTTATTAAATTAATACTTTTATCTTGCTTTGAAATACGCTGTACTGGTTGCAATAATTTTTAGATTTCAATTTTACCATTCATAAAAATAATGTTCTTAGAAATTACTCATACGTCATGTATGCCAGTCATTTGATCAAAGGCAACAGTACGTATGAGTGTTAAATTTTGAAGCCAATGCTAAATAATTATTTTCAAATTTTGATTCATATATATGTTTGTTTTATTCAATTTTGGGAGGAATATTTGTCTGTTATTATAATAACCATCCGTAAAAAAAAACATTATTGCTTATAGGGCATAAATAGAGTATACAAACTTCGACCTAAGCTGCCTCTCTTGAGTTTTAATCTCTCTCTTTCTTCCTTTTTTGTGTTCTGTTTTGTGTTGCTTATCAGCCCTCACAATCACAATTGTATTTTTTGAAATCTTAAGAACGAGAAAGTGTTATTGAAAGTTTAATAAAAACGGTTGAAATGTTTTATTTTTAATTAAATGTGACGTTTTTTTATTTGTTTTTGGCGTTTGGAAAACTTAAATTGTCTGGGAAAAATGTTTATTGGGTTTATCGTTTATGCAAGGCACGCGCAAAATTGAGAGAGAGAGAGAGAGAGAGTGAATGAGCAATTTGCAATTTTTACTTGCTGGAGAGCAGTGTTGCCAACTTTTAATGAGCAATAACAGATGTTAACAAAATAAAGCTAAAAATGATTGTCATATAATTATTGTAATTAGAAAAATTTTAAAACTAAAAGCAGTAGTCTCATTATATAAAAGGTAAATTAATTATAAAAATGAACAAAACTATGTAAAGAAATAAAGGCCTACTCTGAAACTCCCGCTTCTTGTTTCGAAATGATTTTAGCAGCCCGAAATGACTAGAAACAACTGATTTGGCAGCACTGCTGGAGTGGAAGAGTCATTGGGAGAGAGACAATTGGGGAGCGCGTGCTCCGCTCTCTCTTCCTCTCTCTTTTTCGCGCTGTTTAGTCAATTCTCCAAAAAACGCGTCGCGTGCTGTTTTCTGTAGTAAGCGCCATTCAGTTTTTCACTCGCCGCCGCTGGTCCGCTTTTCCACTGGGCTTCCTGCGTTTCCATAGCCGAAAAATAAATAACTATAACATAAAGTAATATATAATAAATAAACAATTTTGTGATCAAACAAAAAGGAAAACCAACAGCCAAAGGGGGAAACGGAGATAGAAATATAGAGATAGCGAGCGAATCAAGTAAGTTTAGCACTAACGGTGATTGTGATAGTGTGTGTGTGTGTAAGACAGAGAGAGAGACAGGGTCCTGAAGTTGCAAGCTTAAGCTGAGTGCTAAATTTAGAACTCAAGCTGAAGGCTGCACCACCCCCGCCCTCTGCCCCACTCCCCTCTCAACCCGCCACCCACCTACGTCAGGCGCTCTCCCAGAGAGCTTAAAAGGGAGAGAGAAAGAGAGCAAGTGAAAGAGTGTGTGTGTGGTATGAATGGAACAAAAGTACGGAGGGGGTGTAAGTACATGCAAGTGTGTGGGTGTGCGTATGTGCATGTATTTGTGGCACGTAGACTCGTAGTAAAATTTTCCGCGTAAAATTGAAAGCAAATTGAAAAGCTCACGAGGGAGTTTGCAAAAAATGGCATAAATTCCTGAGAAATAATAAATGATTTATAAAAAACTAAACAATTTATCATCTAAAAAATTATGCAATGTATGTGGTACTTTATTTTAATTTTTATTGAAATTTCCGAAAACAACCAAATTATTAATAATAAAACCAAAAAAAAACGTGTAAAATTTTATAAAATTACATTTTCAAAAAACAATTAAAGGCATATCTTTAAACAATATTCACTGGGGAAAACTACAAAGGAATCTCTAAGCTGCTATTACATTGTTTCATATCAACATGAAAACTATTAGCTAGTTCCCCATATTTGTGAAAAAATTTTTACTTACAATAAAAATTAAAGGTGATTGAACGCATGCATTTTCGAATGCCAGTCTAGACTGATCATCATTTTTTTAATCTCCAATAAAAAAAGTGTTAATTAAAATACAGCAGACAAAAAAGTTAACAACCATCCAAAATATATAATGTATAAAAAAATATAAAATATACTTGTATGTATATAAAATACAGAAAACTGGCTAAAGCAGCCGAAAAACCAGTTCGTGCGTAGTTTTCCATGTCATGTTTTCCGCATGTTTTCCACATTCGGTGGCGGAAAGCGTTGCAACGAGTTTTGCACGCTTCGTTTTATTTCACTTTTTTGCCGTAGTTTTCCTTCTGCTTTTCTTTTCCTATCTTGTCCCCCTCTCTACACTTTTCTTTATTGCCACACGTTACTACTCATAGACATGGATATATAGGCATATAGCCATAGGAATAGGAACCTGCCCGCTCCAGCTGCTTCTTCTTTCGTATATAAATACTAAGGTGCGCGACATAGTGTTAGAGCGATTGGACAATTTTGCGTGTATGGATGGGTTAATGTAGCTCTAAGAATAAAAACAAAATACAAAAAGGTCACATTATTGATTGGATTTCAATAATACAATATGAAACACTATTCTCTATTTCTGTTTTTTAAATAATTTAATAGTGATTTTAAAATATCTCTTTATAATACTTTGCCAGGAACTGGTTGATGATTTAATTATCTTCAATGTAAATATTTCTTGGGCTAACTTACTTATTTTTGTTCCAGTGAGAAATTTTAGATATTTTAAAAGCCTTACAATATCGTTCTGCAGCTTTAACCATCGTTGTTGGAGGCACGAGTTGAGCGCGCATGTACAAAAGCGAACAGCACTACGTAAGACCCCTCTTTCCCCCTGGCGCCCCTCCCAATTTTCCATGAGCGCCCACACGGGCATCACATCCAAAGTGTAGTAAGTGCACTTTGTGAGTGCGGCCAGGGTTGCCAGATAAACGCGCCTTTGCACAGTTGTCGGGTGGGAATGGGCCAAGAATTCAATGAATGGGAAACTGCCTGCACACAAAAGAAAATCAGTTGAAAGAAATTTGCCATGGAATGTTAATTTTGCACAGCTAATTACAACACGCCACTTATCCACAATCAATTATAGTGTGCAACTTTTGCAATTAAACATGACTACATTGTTGTGCAATACGATCGGGGTACAAATTTAGTTTGTGTTAATAACTACTTGTAATTTAAGGGTTTTGATTTATACATTTTACCTATTTTTTGTAATCTCTCCATCAATATTACGTAATTTAGGCCTCACGGTCAGTCAGTAGACTCATAGTGTTCCGATTTTTTTTTTAAGTCTTGCTGTATTTTTTCATTATTTACTTAAAAAAATATTTTTGAAAAATATTGAAAAAAATATTTGTTAGCAAATTAACCTGAATTCGATAAGTCTGTTTAATTTATTTGTAGCCCTTAGGTTTGAGATTGTGTTTTTGTAGTTTAAATACGTTTTGAGCTGCGATATAATACAATTTTTGATTTATCATCGTCCATCTGGTAACTCTGGAAACCGCAAGTGAGAAGAGAATCGTAGGTTGCACGCATTGGAGAATTGTTTGGGGAATGGGAAACGTGTTGGTCTCTCTCCAGCGCCAGCGCAGAGATTTTTAGAGACTTGGAGACAACAGTGTTGCCTTGCCACATTGTGGGCGCAATGAGTTTTCAGTTGGAGCGACACGTTAGCCGGTGACGGGCGATGGGCTATATTCGATTTATACGCGATATATACCCGATGCACAAAGTAACACCGTAGTAATCAGCCAAGTCAGCAGGCGTAGGCGGGGATCCAAAACAGTTGCACAACTACCGAAAAAAAAATAAATCTGTGAAAATAAATATATTTTGTGCCACCAGGTGTATAAAAACCAATTTCTCGATGGGTTAAAAAACCTCGAAACTCACAGCTTAACCCTTTGGCGGTGCGGTGTGCCTGTTTTTTTTTTATTTGCGGATTTCGCGTCGTCTGGTTTCCGTTCTCGTGCCAAAAAAAATCGATAATTCCGTGCTGTATAAGTTACGGCGAAAGGTGCGCGGATATTCCGTTCGGGATTTGAGTTCGGGTGTTTGAGTACTACGCGTAAGGACCAAGTGTGCGCGAAAGAGATTGTAAGAAAAAGAGATTTACAAAACACAATAAAAAACTCGAATATAAAAATTCTAAATGAAATTATTTTTACCACATTTAAGCACATTGGTTGTTCCAAGTTAAATACCAAAAATGTAATACAAATCATGTTTTACAAATAAAAAAATTCTTTTTTGGAACAGAGAGAGAGAGAGAAATCTCTCACCGCTACCATTTCTCGTTATCTACGGATTTACAACCAAAGAGAGAGAGAGAGAGAGAGAGAGAGTGTGAGAGAAAGTGGAGGAGGAGAGAGAACGTAAACGTGATTGAAATTTTTGCACAAAAGGAAAGCACCGCTTACGCTTTACACGCGCGCGTGGGAGAAAAAGAGTAAATCAGGAAGCAGAGAATCGCAAAACGAAGCAGCGCGTAAAAATAACAAACAAAAATACATGCCGAGGCGTATAAATAGAAACAGCGTGTAAAGCGCAACGGCAAAAAAGTCAGTAGTATGTAGTAATAGTAGTAGAAAGAGAAGGAGAAGCAAAAGGTGGAGAAGAATAACGAGGTAGACGTCGGCTGTGACGCCTACTGCGACTGCGGCGTCGTAGTAAGTTCTTTCCCCCTGTACGTGTGCGCTGCGTGGGTGCATTGTTGTAGTGGTGTGCGTGTGGCATGTGCAGCGGATAAAAGCAAAGCAGAAAACCATGATAAAGTTTGTCAGGCAGAAAAATCGCGAAAATACACTAAGGGTATCCAAAAATTTTATGCGTAAAAAGGTTCGATTTTTTAATATAACCATTCCATTTAAAGATATATGTATAAATTTAAAATTTCATTTTTACTTTTTAATTAAAATTTAAATAAAAGTACAGGTTACGTCCGATGTGTTAATCCAATAAAAATCAGTAAATTGTTATGATTTTATTTGTGTTTTTATTTCTTTTAACTTCTTAGCTCAAAAAAGAGTAAAAAATAGATAATATGGAATTTGGATTTGTTAAATAAAATATTTGTATGAAATTATTGAAAATTAAAAACTATTAATTACGATTATTTGTTGAGAAACCCTCTATTTCAAAATTTATTTTATATAAGAGGAAGTAATGAACTCGATAAACAAATTTTAGTTTTAGAAGTTTCAATTAATCTGCGCTTTAAAGTAATTTATTTTGTAATAGTTTATTTTGTTATGTTATTTATTATTGCTGTGACTTTTAGTTGTATATTTAAAATAGTGTTTAATACAAAATTAACTTTCTACCCTTTCAGCGTGAATCGAATGACTCAGGCACCGAATCTGATGGTGAACTCCTCGATGTGGAAAACCAACGTTACTTAGACGTGGATATGGAAACTAGTAAGTGCTGAAATAGCAAATACAGGTTTTGAAGAAAATTGTTAAAACTATTTCGAAACTAAAATACTGTAACATTTTTGAAGTCGTAAACCTTTAACAAAAAACAATTGTTTTGCTGTAGTTTCTTGTATTACCAATTAAATTCTTTAAAGTTTTTTTTTTAATTATAAAACTTTTAATGTAATTATAAGTTCTTTAAAAAATCAATGATAATGAGATTAAATGGACTTATTGCAATGTATCTATTTTCCCAGTTGAAAGAACATTATTAATATTACTCATCCTATCGCTTAGGTGTTGCTGGCCAAAAACCAATAGCTTCTGCAATGATGTGTCACCAGCAGACGTCGTCATCCTGCGCCCATCTCATGTACGACCAGCACAGTTCGGAGGAGGAGCTGGAGGTGATCAATGGCCCGTCCTCGCAGGGTGGGCATGGTCAGCATCCCGGCGGAACGACGGCCACGGGCTCCTCGTGTGTCTCCCGGATCTCGAATCGCGGATGCACCTCCTCGCTGGACACGGAGGCGCCCTACGAGGAGCGGGCCACCACCTCCAACTCGAAGCGGTCCAGCTCCACGCTGATGGTGGAGAATCGCAAGCGTTCGCTGGCCCACAGCTCCGACGATGAGGTGGGTTCTGGTGAAATTGTCAGACGGATTTTCAATTCTTGAAAACTCAAACCGGTTGTAGACGGTGCATCAGCAGTACCTAAATACTTATACCTAGTTAAGTACCTAAGTAACGAAATGTGGTACTTTACTTTTTACATACCCAGGCTAAAAAATATGTGGCTACCCTTTAGCTTAGATGCTGATTTTTAAATGTGTACCTTAGAAAAAGGCTCTAAACTTAACTACAATTTTTTTATTACTTTTGTATATCTATATACGGCATGTGCAAGATATATTTATGTTTAGTTTTCTCACTTCTTACTTAAATTCAACTAAAACTTTGAGAAAAGCTAATTGACCTTCAAAATTATTAATTAAAAAAAAATATATTAATCTCTTAAGCACCTATGTATATCTAAAAAACTAGTACCTTTCCCGAAACTGTAAACGATGCATCAGCAACAGTCTACGCAAAGCTGAAAAAAGCTTTTAAAGATTGATAACACGGCTTTTTTGTTTCAAAAGATTTTGAGAATCTGTCTGACTGTTTAAATTTCCATAATGCTAATCCATTTTGTAAACATTTACTTAAATAGTTGCGCAACTCGCTGGAGCCAATATTGACGCCCGTGAATTTTCGCACATCGCCGCCATTGGAGGCATTCAAGCCAAATCGTAGCCATATGATGTTCCGCTCCACAACGCCACTGATATTATCGGAGGCCCGATGTGGCATCGAAAATATTAAATTATGTGATAATAGTGTAAACGAGGAGAATGGCGACAACGGTGGCGTGGCGGCCAATAGCAGTAAGTGTGCTAAGATTGGTGCGGCCAATGCTGGTGGTGCAACCAGTGGTGGCAATGAAAATGAGCCCAACGCGAGCGCGAGTGTGATTAAGGCGTGCAGTAGCTCGCTAAAGATGAGCAACAGTAGCCATCACATATACCAGCCGCAGCCCAAATACAGTTTCCACTACAATAGCTCGCGCAGCAGTCCGGCCAGCACCACCGGTTTGGATATGGAGGTGAGATCGGTGAGTCCGCCGGCGAAATTGTTCCACTGCGCCATATCGCCCAGGCGGCGACCCAGTAACAATGCCAGCGGTCCATCCGTGGGCGCCACAACAATATCACCATCATCATCATCATCATTGGCATCATCGTCAGCCACAACAACGACACACAATGCTGCCAATTCCGGGGGAAATGCCGTAAATGCCGGAAATGCCGCCAACGTCACCGCCGCCGCCACACAGAGACTGCAGCGACCGCATCGGCCGTGTTTAGATTTTGATAAGATGCAGCAGGTTAGCCTCTAATGCAGAGCACGCTAACACCAGATCAGCCGGAAAAGGAACAGATTCGTGGGAGCAGAATGGGGGGCAAATCAAAGACTTTTTATACGAACCAACAACAACAACAAACACAGCAACAGCAGCAACAACAACAACAACAGCAACAGGCCATTAAACCAGAAATTGGAGGACTGCTAGCTACAGGTAGCAGCATATTCAAGAACTCAAAAACAGCAAGAAAGAAATATCATCAAATCAAATTCTATAAATCTAAAGGTAATTCAAATTTTAACGCAAACCAACAAAAAACCAAAAAAATGAAAAAAACACAGAAAGAGAGCAACCTAAAATTTACAATAGATGCAGCTATTTTTTCACAATTTTAAACTGAAAAACTGTAACAAAAAAGGCAAACGACGCGGGGATCGAAAGTTTACGAACAGAAACAATAGATTTAAAAGCTCCCGGGGGGCGTAAAGCGGATCGAAATAAATATCGTAGGGGCAGGGCTGTAAAGATAGATATTCTATATGCAAGCCATATGGAGAGAAAAAGGATCACAAAAGTTGATTAAAAATAAACATAAGTATATGCTCTGGGGGTGTGTAAAGAAGAGGAGTAACGATTTAGATGATAAAAGGCCAGCCAGTGGAAACTGTGAACTGTAAATATTGTATTTGATTGGGATAAACCAAAAAACTTTTGAAGAATTGGCATGCCATCGAAAGACGAAGGAGGGGGGAATAGAAAGTATTTTAATTTTTTTAGGAAGCCGACAAAAAGCACTGTTTGGTGATGTGGCAAGAAGACTCGAAACTTGTAAAAGAGACAAATTATATTTCTATAAAATGAAGGAAGGCAAAGAAAACTGTGAGCGGAAAGCGTGAAATTTGGGAAATCGGGAAATATGGAAAGGAAATAGCAACAGCAAAACATGTGAAGCAACAATAGAAACAGAAAAAATAATATAAAAAAAACACAAACACAAACAAAACTTTTTGTATAAGAAACCAGAAACCAGGAGCCGAAAAAACAAAACTGTCGCAATGTCAGTTGAAAAACAATTAAAATATGTGTTTTATGTACAACATAAAATAGCAAGCTATTTTATAAACAATATTCAATTTATCCACAATTAAGTGAAACGACAAACGAAAAAATAAAACAAAAACAAAAACCAAAAAGCTGCCATCAACATTCATGCATTCGATTAAAGCTCCTTAGTTTAACCAATATGATTGATGATTGATGATTGCTTGATGGAAAGACTAGTAAGCGCAACAATTAAACAATTGGCAAATGTTTGCAAGCTCATAATATGTGTATTAGTAATACAATTCTTTGTCAAGTTAATGAAAAAACCAAACGCAGCAAGTAAACCCATACCCATACCCATATTCAATTCAATGAAAACCAAACGAAAGCGAGAAAACTAAAACCAGTAAATGTGTGTGCAACCATAGCAAAGCAAAAGAAAAACAAAACATACGTTTTAAAGTACCATATAATATGTAAAAACCAAACAATGAAGCAAATCCAGAGCAAAATATTCTATGTAATGCTAATTTTAAATCATATATTTACTAACGCAAAGCAGGCAAAATTTGAGTTAAATCCAAAAGTAGTCAATACTAAGTTTTGTCAATAACCATCTCATGCCCACTAAATGTTTCACACACACCCACATACCACACTTGGAACACTCAGAACACACAAAACACAACATTCAACCTACCAAAACAGCATAATCCACACCACCAAGACACCAAGAATAATTATAATAATGGAGGGGAATCGAAATCCAAATCGAAATCGAATCAGATGGAGAAATTCGGGCTGGGAGATGAGAAGTGCAGATAAGATACTGATACTAGGAATGCAGTTTTCGTAATTTTTAATTAATTAATTAAACACACAAAAAAAAAAAAAAACAAAGAGAACGAACAGATGAATTATATTATATATGTGTAACGAACGGGAGAATCGGAAGATATCATGGACTGAAAAGATAAGAAAGAAGCTGGTGAGAAGCCATCAATACTAGGATTTTAGTTTATAAGCTCTCAAGCGACGAGATGGAAGTTATTGTGAGAAAAGCACACACAAATCTAATGGAATGTATGGCTGCGGGGCGTTTATGTTGAATATTTTTGAGAAACAAAACAAAACAAAAACGACAAACAAAAAAAGAGAAAAAACAAATTATGTTGTAAACAAAGAATACAAAGATTTCATTGCGTTTTGGGCCCAATTGACAGGCGCCCAAACACTTGTGTTGTACATAGTTACATTAATAATAACAATATATATTTAATATATATATATATTGATATATATATATATACTTACTCATTAACAATTAAGTCGATGAACGGTACAAGTGCAAAAACGAGAGAAAGAAGTATGAAAAACAAAAAACATTTGAGATAAAACGAATGAAAGGAAGATGACAAGACAAAAACATGAAAAATAATAAAGAAATGCTCTGCAATAGAATATTTGGAATTGTTTTATATTTGCAAGTATCAGCGTGGGATTGTCCTAAGAAACAAACGAATTTAACTGAAATTTTAATTTTACTTTTTAATTTACAAATTTGCTTATGAAATAGAATTTTAGAATCAAGTTTTAGTTTTAGATTTTTTAATATTTAATTTTTAACCAGAATTTTCTTTTACTTCCCGTAACTATTACGACAATAGAAATTTGCATTTTTATCTTGCTAATATGAGAATAGGATCCTTAAAAATAAAAGAAAGTTACTTTAATTTTCGAAGACAATCTTTACTTTTTTACAGTTTTAGATTGATTCCAGATTCAATTTCAAATTAGAATATTCTTTAAGCTCGCATATTTGCACATTTTTCTTTGTTTATTTGAAATAATTACTTTATAAATACAAGCATGCTTTACGTATCTTATTTATCTGAACTTAGGGTTTCTATTTACACACATAGCTTGTACAAAAATGCGTACTTTAATCTTGATTTACTTATAATATTCTGAAGAAACCTTGGCACAGCATGGCTATAAGCCCAGAATTTCCTGCTTAGTTTGGTCGCGCATGGCGTCAGACTTATTGTGTTGGATGCTGGTGGCCACCCCGTCATCCCCTTCGATTGGCATCTGTTTGCTGTGAGCAGCTGCCCTTTTTTTCTTTACCTTTTCCGCCGGTGGTTGATTCGTTCTGGCGGGATCGTGAATCCGGGAATGTCGCTTCAGATCCCCAGACACCCGGAACTTCTTCTCGCAGATGGAACACTCGTATGGTCGCTCTCCAGTGTGCACTTTAATGTGGCTAAGCAGATACGAACTGGCCCTGAATGTTTTGTCGCAATGCTGGCAGGCATAGTTTCGCTCCCTGGTGTGAATTCTTCGATGGAGAACCAGCGAATATCTCCTCGAAAAACTCTTGCCACAGAATTCGCACATGTGCGCCTTGACATCGCTGTGCCGCGAGATCATGTGATACTTTAGATCGCCCCATTGCCGGAATTTGAAGTCACACTTTTCGCATTTGAAGGGTTTTACGCCGGAATCTGTGAATGTGTATTGTTATATAGTATAAAGTATAGTAATTTGTTTGTGGCAGTTTCTAAGCCAAGACTCACGTGTTCTTTCGTGCGCTTTTAAGGCACTCTGTGTATAGAAGGATCTCTCGCAATTATCGCATTTATGGGATCTCTGCTGGTTGTGCGTGTACTGATGGTACTTGAGTGCATTATACGAGTTGAAATCCCGGTTGCACTTGTCGCAAAAGTGCTTTCTCCTGGTCTTACTTCCCGTTTCCTGCGGTACACTTGCAGCCAAGCCCTCCACCGCCACCGAGAAGCTTTCGTTGTGCTCCTCAGCCTCGGAAACGCCTTCTTCAAAGGGCGAAGCTGGCCGGCTATCATCGTCCTCTTCCAGTTTGAAGGCTTCACTCAGCTCTAGCGGAGATCTCTGCAGTTGTTCGATCGCCGAATTGGGCGGAGGAGTTAGCGGCGGCGGTGGTGTTGCCACTACCAACATGGTTTGCTCACTAGCTTCCATGATTTTGGGCAGAGACTTTTCCAGTTTTGGTTCCACCTTTGCGGGACTTAGGAAATCCAAAGCCATGTGATCGTTTTCGTGGGGATTCGCCTTGAGGAGTGGAGCAGCCTGTTCCGCGGAAGCTGGCGGCGGTTCGCCGGGCAGCAGGAGAGCCGGAAAAGTGATGTCCCTGAAGTTGTTATTGAACCACGGGGCTGTCATGCCACTGGAGGTCAGCTCCAGATCCACCAGCTCGTCGCAGGTGTCCTCTATCGACACCTTGTCCACCACATTTCGTATGCCCTCGAGCATGTCCTCCGTGTCGCTGAACTCCACATCGTCCACCACGGGCACGGTATTCGGTGTGCTATTGCTGTTCACCACCACGGGACTCAGCTTGTCCGTGGCCTGTCCATGACCATGCAGCACCATATTGACACCCACATTGCTCACATCGTCCACATGGTGACTGATGTTGTGGAAGTTTTCGAAGTTCAGCTGCACGTCATGGAAGACCTGGTCCAATTTGGCCTGCTCCTGCTGCAGCTGTGGGAAAAGGTTGACTCTAAATTCTGGAATTTCATTTTCAAATATAAATTATTCCTATGTTGAACCCCAAAATAAAGAACGCTTACAAGAGCTTCTAAAAATCAATTGGAAAACATTTCAGCCCTTAAACTTTCAATTTCAGGCTTAAGCCAAATAAATACTTTAACAAATGCAGCTTTGTAGGCTCGTTTTTAAAGCAGGAACTCTAATCTATCCTAGTGGATGATTACTAATTTATAATATTAAGCCTCCTGCTCTTTAAAACATATAAGGATTATTTATTTTTAGGACACTATTAATTGGAAAGCATTTTACTATCGAAATATTTGAACTAATGAAGCTTTTAAGACTAATTTCAAAGCAGAAACTATCCTCTGGGTAACCCATTTTTTATATCACTGGATGACTATTTTATAGAAAGTATATATTTTTCATTCTAAGAATAATTAATACCTACAATGTATTGTAAACTACTCTTTAAGATGAACTCTATTGAATTCCTTCAAGTAAAAGGATTTTTTTATATAAAGGTATTAGAACCTTAGATATCTGACCTTATCCTTTCGATTTCCTTCAAATATTAGGATTATTATTTTAAGAGGGTTTCAGAGTCCCAGCAAACCTTTAAATATTGGGGCTAACATTTATTGATAGTTTTTTTAACCCAATCTGACCTTATCCCTTCGATTTCCTTCAGATATTAGGGACCCCAGCTAACCCTTAAATTTTAGGGCTAACATTTGTGGATAGTTTTAGAACCCTATATTCAGATATTAGGATTATTGTTTTAAGAGGGTTTTAGAACCGAAGCTAACCTTATCGTGGGCGGACAGACCGCACATGTCGATTGGTTCCTTTTGCTGCTGGGTATCCTGGACCACCAGACGTTGCTCCAGAACGGTGGGTTCGTAGTGCTGCTTGAGGTGGGCGAAGAAGTCCAGTTGGGTGTGCACCGAGTAGCCGCAGAGTTCGCAACTGTAGATGGACACGGATGGGGCCACATCCTGGACATGTTTGTGCACATCCAGATCGGCATCAATGTTGCCCTTGAGTTTCCGCGAAATGCGCTTCTTGTGGGGCAACACTTTGCGGGCATTTGTACAGGAGACATTGTTGTGGGCATACAGTAGATCCCCGTCGTCGTGGACCAGGCCCGCGGCCACATCGATGGGAACCGTGGGCTCAATGGCCAGGGCCGGAAAAGCGGGCTGCGAGTCCGGTTGCTGCGGCACAACATCGTTTTCCGGCGACGATTTGTTCACAAATTGAAAGATGGTATTGTGAAAATTCAATTCCGGTGTCAGCGACTCCTTTTCCGCATAGCCCACGCCGCTCTCCGAGTTTCCCGAACTGGGATTCCGGCTCAGATTGGTGGGGCCTTCAGCCTTATAGGTATGATCTATCAGATCCATTATAAAGTGATTGGGATCTCGCATTAGCTCAGTGGCCAAAAGCGTCTATTTGTGGGTTGAAAATGGGTTACAACTTGGAGTAATATACTTTATTTCACTATGTTACACTTACATGATCGATGAACTGTTGTGTGTCCACTTCTTTACGCTCCATTTTGCTCGATTATCGCTAAAATTCATTAAATTCTTGGGGAGCCCAAAATGTTTCACTATAATTTACAAACAGTGCTGGAAAACGGTAAAAGTGGATCAGCTGTGGCTGGTCTATCGACACCGCCGATAACAAATCGAGTGCAGTGTTAAAGCAAGCAGTGCACTGCTTGGAAAACCCGCGGTCTTTTCAAAATATTTCTTATCATTTCAAAGCAATTGCATAAACTATTAAACATATTAAATATTTAAATGTAATAAACCAAATTCTTGTTAAAGCTCTTTTTTTATATTTAAAACTTTTTTATGCACATACTGCAAGATTTCCCTTCCAATTACTTAAATAAAATACTTTAACCAAATGCACTTCTAAATTTTATTTATTTTTTGGTATTATTTATACATACATTGATTCATACAATATATTAAACGTTTTTTGATGAATTTTTAGTTCTTGTTTGACTAAACATCGTTGTCTAACTGGCAAATGTAATGGTATTCTAAGTCACACCGTCGAGTAGACATTTGGCCTAAGGCGACCAACACGCATTCCTCTTTAATGTCGTCATAGTTAAAGGGTTCCTCGCCCATCCAATCCAGAAATGTTGCATTTTTCCCAGAGGCCACGGATACGAAATGGTTCTCCTCTTCCCGATGGTTAATGCCCAGCCAATACACTCCCACAGGCAGTTTCTCTGTGACTCCATTAAACTCTTCTCTGTCTTGGAAAGCGGCTAGATAACCTCCCTTTTCTCGACAGGCGTTTTCGGCACCACTCCAATCTTTCCTATCTTCAGGTTCAATGAAAAAATATCTGGACTTGACTCTCTCAAATCCTGGGTATCCTCCCAATTGCCCCTCAATCCTGTTAAGTTGTTCCTTTGTTTCGCCAATGGCACCCGAAGTTCTTTCCATTTCTCTCAGTGTTTTTTTTAGAGCAGAAACTTGATTATCAATCTGGTCTTTAAGATTGGCAATACGATGATGGATTGGATGTAGTTCACTTTGTACGAATGGCCTACATTGGGTTGAGTTATACTCGGATTTAACCATCCCAAAAAGGATGCAGGTTAAAATAAAATATCCACATTTAAACATTTTGAGAGCGTAGAACCACGGAGGGCAAATGTTGCCGATGAACTGACACCAAATGTATTCGCTGACTTTCAAAGAGTTTTGTGAGGTCGTCCAAAAATGACGTAATCATATATGAAAAGCTTAATTAGGCCATTCGCGCATTTAAATCCAATTAAGTACACTCTGAAAGTAAAACTACTTGTAAGGTGTTTAAAAAAAAGGAATACAAATATCTTATAACATTAGGCATAACATATTTAAATTTATCCAAAACAATTTTTTTTTAGTTTATTTCAACTTAAAATTTTTATTATTTGCAACCCTGTTTAAAACATACTTCAAATTCTACAATCAAATGTATGCTTTTTAAATAATTTTATTCAACTTAAATTATGTTCATTAAAAAAGGTAATCATAATTCCAAGACTTTTAATTTAAATTAGAATTTTATATTTTTGGCAAGCCTATTTAAAACATACTTAAAATTTTAGAAACAAAATTATTCTTTATAAATGATTTTAAATATAATAAAAGTTTAATTTCAAATTTAGTTTATACTTTATTAATTCAAAACTTATAATTTTAGTTTCAATTTTTATTATTTTTTTTTATTTAAAACAACCATATATTTTTTTTAATTCCTAGCAAGACAAAAAGTACATAAAACTAAAGTGTTCAAATTTCACGAGTATCAAAGTGTTTGTTATGATTTATCGTAATTCTCTTGCTCAAATTGGAGTTCGTCAAACATCAAAGTGCATTTGTTCTCGACTCTCAAAACTTCCTCCCCCTTCGTGACGTGTCAATCGGATCGTTTAAGGTGTTCCCTGATTGATTCCTCAAGGGATTCAATTGTTATTGTTATGATTCATGGGAATTCGTGTGCGTAATTATACGATTTGATCTAAACAAGGCCGGTTGGTATTTATTTTTACACCAGTTTCAGTGAGTCAGCGAGGAGATCAAAGCTGGCAAAGCTACAAAAATATGTGAATTGTCTAATAATTGTTTATTAAACATTAATAGACTTTGGGCGAAGTGGCTAAGCAGCAGCCGTCGCTCGTCACATTAAATTGTCGAAAGAGTGTTCATAAAATTTTATGGCATTTTTTGCGGTTAGTCGCCACTTGAAGTCGAGCCTATAAATACCAAGGGGAACATATGGACCTTCCCTTTTCGTTCCCTCAAATTTGTGGGAGCCCTAAGCCCGCTGATCCGTTTACCATAAATATGTTGATATATCACTGAGCAGGATTAGCTTCCTGTTTGCGGCCATATGGAGATTGGAGATCGGAGATGTTTCGGCAACTTGAGGGGAAAATGGGGGGAAACGGCTTGGATTATGTGCCACTTCAGAATTTGGAATATATATGAAGTGTTAATTTGTAATGGGAATGTTTATGGCTCTGTTTGTTGTTGAACTTTATGTTCCAACCAATTGGTTTGTGGAGCAATGGGGAAAAACATGGGGGAGTCATTAATTTACGGGAGTTTCAATATGGCAACAGCTTAATATTTAGTTTAATATTTAAAAAGGGAAATCAATTTTTCTACAGTCTAAATTTGTTGTCCTTTTTTTTTAAATAATCCTAAAGATTTTCAGTGGTTTTTTTACAATGGTTTGGATTTTTTTGCTGTGCCTTTTAACTCTAGCATTTCAATTGCAATATTTTTGTGCGCTATACAAATATTGTTTTTTCATTTGGGGGAAATGCAAATTGTTTGCTTTTTGGCTCACACATTAGTAACGCCCACCAGCTGCCCATCAGAACCCGTGATCTATTCCATTCCATTCTTATAGATACTTTGCTACCTGACTCTGGCTCTTTGGATTATTCTCTGTGTGTTTACTTTACGAGCTACCAAGCCATTTTTGTTTGTTTTTGGTTTTTCATAAATTTTGTATAAATAAAGCAGAATTTCTTTTTGAGGTTTTCAAATATTTTTCGCAAATATGAAATTCAATATTTGCTTTGGGGAAATAATATAAGTATTAACCTGCCTGGGTAAATGGAATTGTTTTGGTTATTTTCTGGGAACGAATTTTTATGATGTTGATGATTTAATGACTTAAGTATGTTATATAGATTTCATTCTTTTCTTTTTTTCGATATATAAACTATGTTCTTTTTAATTTTTGTATTTTTAATTGATTGTAGATTTTTTCACATAAAAATTTCTATTCTCTGAATTTAAATAAGGTATATTTATTTTTTATTGTGGAAAAGAGCTAAGAGCTTGATTCTTCTCACAAACTTGTCAACAGCTCGTTAGAAAAGTTTGTGCAACAAAAAGAGGCTGTAAAAAAGACTGCGGCTGTACATTATTACATGGTATACAATACATAATGTCATTATTATTATAAGCGTGCTTTTTTGTGGATACAACAAAAGCAGCAGCAAGAAAGTTTTTGTAAAAAAACACAACACAAGCGTAAGGACGTCCTCCTTCCACGCCGAGGAAGGGCAGGAAACATGCAAGTGCCCAAGTGCCTTCTTTTGTTCTTCGTCACGTACTGCGGTGCTATGGACCCTCCTTGCCATCCTCCCTCTCGGAAATATTCAAACCCCATTCTCGGAAATAACCAAACAAGTGTAGCAGTGGCAAAACCACCTTACAACCACACGGATCCGGCGCGAAGGACCATGGACCAAAAGCAAGACCAACCTACCGCAGACTCGAGTTTTTCGCTGCTGCAAAAAAGAGGAAGCGGAAAGGAGCCTCATCAAGAGCGGTTCGATCGCTGAAGAGAGCTTCAGATACCCTGTTACGTGGTGAGTATATTGAGTTTTTTGAAAAGTTTTTAATTTTGAAACTAAAGTATCAATGCACTCTGTTTAAAATACAACATTTGTTGTGTAAGATTCAATCATTTATTTTAATGGCTAGCAAATGTTTGTTTACCACACAAAAGGGAATATATATAAAAATTACAAAATAAAAATATTTATAAAAAATCATTAAAGAACAAGAACTAATTTTTAAATGCTTATCTTCAATAAAAAAAATATAAAAATGTTTACAATATTCATAAGCATTTTACTGATAGTTCTGAATGGGAATCATTTTTTCTTTTTTTATATTTTCTAAGTTTTGTGCATGAAAATGATTTCTAACCATAACGGTTTATGCTCTATAAATAAACTTAAAATATATTTAAGCATTTTAGAGATATTTCTTAATCGCAACCAATATTTGTTGCCTTTTTATATCTCATTGTTTTCTGTTGCCTCTTGGAGTTTGTCGCCTTTCGGGTCCAAATTATAAAACAAAAGCTGTAAAATGTAGCCAAATGCAAAAACAAACAGAGGAACGACAAGTACCACAATTTCGCCCTTGGGGCTTGGAAATATGCCCCCCGTTTTTCCGGCTCCATCCATTTTCCCTCGTTTCCATTTTGCTGTTGGTGCTGCTGCTGCATAAATATTGTCAATAGCAACAACTACAGACGGCAACAACAGCAGCAGGATTTTAGTATTTTCTCGGGTCGGGGGGTTGCAAAATCCAGCCCCCTTTTGGACCCCACCACCCCTGTTTCCTGCCACATTTTTCCCATTCTCTGCTCACGTTTTTTTTGTTTTTTTTTTGTGTTATTGTTGTTAACAATTTTGTGCTCATCTCAGCGAAAAATCTGTTGACGCAATTGTCACGTGCTGTTCACTGGCAGTTTTTTACTTGCATCTCCGTCCGTGTCCTGCCAAAAGGATGCTTGCCTATATAGTTTTCGAACACATGGGCATGATTCACTTGCCTCGTGCCACTTTTGTCCCCGTGTCTGAGTTTTGAGCTCCTCGTTAAGTGCAATGCGGCGACGTACAAGTGGCGACAGCAATCTGATTTACTTACCCCCTTGTAAAAAGGACATTATGTGGGGGATAATAAGGGCATAATGCCTGGGGAGGCCAAAAATTATTTCTTAGAAAGTAAAGTATTGATTACTTAATGATTTGTAATACAAATATCTAGCTAGCTATTCTTAAGAAATGTTTACATCTTG